CCCTAACCTTTTTTTTTTTTTTTTTGAGACAGAGCTTCAAGCTATCGCCCTAGATAGAGTGCTGTGGCGTCACAGCTCACAGCAACTTCAAACTCTTGGGCTTAAACAATTCTCTTGCTTCAGTCTCCCTAGTAGCTGGGACTACAGGTGTCCGCCACAACGCCCAGCTGTTTTTTGGTTGTAGTTGTAATTGTTTGGCAGGCCCCGGCTGTATTTGAACCCATCAGCTCTGGTGTATGTGGCTGGTGTCTTAGCTGCTTGAGCTATAGGCACCACCGTGCTAATTTGTTATTAAGGACTGCCAGTGCACTGGGTAGATCTCTGTCCTGTGGGATGATGAATAAAATGTGAAGGTGTCCATGCTAAAAATGGGCTGGTGACAGTTTAAAATACCCACTCTGTGTCTGATGAGCTATAGCAAGGAAAAAGTGTGGGCAGGGATGCACATCCAGGGGTGGGCTTTTAAGGTCTGAAGGTGATTTTCTGTAGCAGTCAGTGGAAAGCTCCAAGCTGGTGGCACCTGGGACCCAGACCCCCTGGCTTCCTCTCCATGGTGGAGGGCGTGCCTCAGGGTGTGCTAGCCTTCACTGGGAAACTGGGAGGCAGATGTTATTATGAGTTAATTCAGAGGCCTTTGTTCAATGAGATTCTCCCTCTTCATCTCCTCTTAAGCCCTTTTTAAATGCTAGAGGAGGGAAGAGTCTGAGAGTGCTGGCGGTATGGACCACAGGAGAAGTACTTAGTTATTCAACATAGTTGTGAGCCCAGCCTACAAATGTCTTGCAAGTCTAATAACTAAAGATCGCTGCTGGCACTTTGGCTGAAGGAGGGATCATGTGTTTTGTGTTTTTTTGGTGTGTGTGTTCAGTTGTTCATGTTGTTCATTGCCTTAACTCACGGAGTCTCATCTGTGGCCCCACTGCAGGCAGTGTTAGGCAGAGCATGTTTTTGAAGGTTTCCTCTGGACAGATCTTGGAAGAGTGACATCTTGATCCCGATTACATGTTGTCATAATCATCATGGTTTGCCTAAATGTCAGTTCTGCTGCCCAGTGAGCAGGTAGCGTTGACCAGGTTTGAGCGGCGAGATGCGTGTGTAGTTGATAGTGGTTAAAGAGCAGAGTGGCAAGATGTGAAGGGTAGGGCTCATTCTGGGGCATTTGTAGCAGGTGGAAAGCAAATAGGAGTTCTAGGTTTTAGTGACTTGCTGAGCTTTGCAACAGAAGCAGTTTGACAACTGAATACCTTAGGGAAATAGGCTCATGATCCATTGAAGGGCAGTGGGGTGATTTTCTGTTCCATTCCCCAGTGACTGCTTGGGGGACAATAGGACAGGACTGTGAATGCCCTGGAGGGGATGGTGAGGACGGAAGGACCTCTTAGGGCTCATATGAGAGTGTTGGTATAGCCTGATAACATAGTTGGAGTTTTCCATAAACGTGAAGCTGCTTCTCTGTCCTCCTTCAGATCTATTGGTCACACTCACCCTGTCCTCATTTCTCAACCTTCGAGAAATAGGTGTGTGAGGTCAGACAATTAAGTTTGTGAACTCATCCTAGAAAAAATGCCACATATCTCATTGCCGAATATCTCTGTGGTCACCTTCTAAGTGCTCCCCAGGGAGGCTGTGCACCGACACTAGGGCCTAGTCCGCCCTGCAGAGCACTTTTTCTAGGGTGAGTTCACAGTCTTTATTGCCAGTCTTCATATGACAACAGCTCTGATGGCCACTCCAAAAAAAGAGTTCCAAAATTATTTTGAAGGGTGAACTAGGCACTGGTGTTGGCGTGTAGCTTCCCAAGGAGACTGGAGACCATAGCGGTAGGTATGGAGCACTTTTTCTAGGATGAGTTTGTGAATTTAATCTTCCAACCTTGTATTTCACATTCTTTCTGTAGTTTATTATGAAAACAATGTATTTTATTTAAGTATAAGATTAGCCAGTCCTGCTTGATTGGTTTTCCACTGAGCGAAGGACAACATAAGCCTCAGGTGCTGCCCAAGGCAATCCTGGGGGATCTGCTCACTGCAGGTCAGCTCTCTCCAATACGAGTTCACAGATTGTCAAATGAACCTTCAGAAACAGACCTGAAGATTGAATGCTCAGTCACCCTTGCTGCCGCCTTTGAGAAAACCTTTCATTGTACCAGGCAGCGTGCGCCAGCCGGTGTGGGGGCCTGGTGGTGGCGAGGTCTCCTCTGCCACCCCATTCTCCTCCAGGCCTTCTCTATCTTCACCCATCACATACTCAGGCAGAAAAATGGCCTGAAGGATGTATTCTTCTCCTTGGGGAAATTTCCACATTTCCATTTCACGTTTATACGAATAAAGGAAAGAATATTTTTCGTGTTTTCTTCATTTTTTCAGCCTACTAAACCCACTCTGGGTTGTGTTTTTCTTGAAGAGTTGCAACATATTAAACTGTTCAGAGATATGACCTTTATGTTGAACCTCAGCCCATAGCATGGGCTAATTGCCTTCCACTGTGTGGATCTACCTTGTTCTATTTGCCCACCTATCTGTTCATGGACAGATGTTGTGTTGTATCTACATTTTGGCTATTGTGAGGAGTGGTGCTGGTGAATGAACATGTTTGTGTACAAATATCTGTTTGAACACCTGTTTTTAAGTCTTCTGGGTTCACATGGAGGAGTGGAGTTGCTGGGAGGGGAAATGCAGTCGTGATATTGTACGTAACTTTTCACAGGACCACCACGTTGTCGTGTGATTAAACTTCCATCTCTGTTTTCTACCCTCACAGATCTTCCTTGACTTGTCCCCACTGCCTGAAACAGAGCAACACCTTCGATCCCTTCCTGTGTGTGTCCCTACCCATCCCTCTGCGCCAGACGAGGTACGTGAGTGTCACAGTTTGCCCCCTGAACTTGACTTCCATCCTGACTCATTACAGGAACGTTTTGGCCTCACATCTGCCATTTTCTCTCTTGCTTCTCGACCTGCATTTCTCTAGAAACCAGTCTTGGAGCTGGGTGATGTTCAGTTACTGAATGAGACAATTAAAGTGAAGGGTTACTATGTCCCTTCTACATCTGAGGAAGGTATTAGAAACAGAATGCTTTTGCTTATCAAGCCCGTTGCCAGGCTTGGGTCTTCTGCTATTCAGAAGCTGGTGTGGGCCCATCAGTATGACGTGCTTTATTTCAAAATCCTTTTTCATCTTTATGAAGGCATAGGCAAAAGATTTCTATTAAGGAGTAAAGAAAGAAGGAAAGGCTTGTTTGGGAGAGATGAGAAAAAAAGAAAACTGGAAGTCGGATTGGGTACGAGGTGCCGTGGAGCTCAGCCCTGTGAGAGCAGGAAGCACGCGGTGCAGGTGCTTCACAGAAGCCAAGGCTTAAGACCATTAAGGCAACTGGCCAGTGTCAGTGTCCTGGAACGTCAGTGAGCTCCTACGTGGTATATCTTCACTAGCATTGAGACAGGCTTTCTTTGTATTCCCCACCTCCTTAAGGGCCATTTCTCTTATGTCTGGACGTCCTCCATTATTAGGAGGCAGCTGAAAACATGGCATCTTCAGAAAGTCTTCCTTGGCAACTCAGCCTCCCTCCTGTGTTGTTGATCATCCATCTACACTACAAGTATAATGATTGGCTTATACTATCATCAGTGACATCATCAGTAATGCCTACTGATAGCTGCAATCTGAGGCTCCTGGTCTAATGTGCCATAGCACAGTGGTTAGGACCACTGACTCTGGAGCCAAAGTGCCCAGGTTCAAATCACAGCTCTACTACTTAGCTGTGTGACTTGGACCATTATTGAAGTATATACACAACAGAAACAGTAGCTGGAAGACTAGGTCTGGTGGGGACCGTGGGCTACGGAAGCAGAGGCTCATAACTCTCTGAATACACTGAGAGAGTATCAATTGTGTCGATGTGTACTGGAAAAAGCAGCTTTGCTTTTCAAACATCAAAGTTTGGTTTTGCTTAAGATTATCTGTTGAACAAGTAGAGCCTTGAGACTAGAGAACTATGTGGCAATTCTCAACCAAGTATCTTTTATTCAAGTTTGTAGAAAACCCTTTAGGAGATTTGACTCTCCACTGCCATCTGGTGACAGTGTACCTGAAGTGCAGGGGCCCAGCCAGGAAGCAGAGATGAATTCCATCGGGTTCAAATCAGTGGTGGTGGTGACAGTTCACATCAGTCCTTTAAAGGATGTTGCCCCTTTACTGTTTTCCAGATTCTTGAGCGTCACCTTGGTCTTCCCCTCTAAGGGCCAGCAGTTCCTGCGGGTTGGCCTGGCCGTGCCAATCCTCAGCACAGTGGCAGCCCTGAGGAAGATGGTTGCAGAGGAAGGAGGCGTCCCTGCAGATGAGGTGTGATGGAATTGTGTGGGGGCTTGGTCACTGGGTGACAGGATGCTAACTGGGCCAACTGTCTAGATGGTCTAAGCCGATTTGTGGTTCCTAGGTGACTCCAGCATGACTCACGGGTTACTGTTTGATTAGTGGTGTCTGTGATGACTGGGCCATGCCTTTGTCCTGCATCCATACAGAATGACCAGGAAAGGACATTCTTTGCCTTCCAAGAAGGTGGTGATGATTGTGATTATAAGGATTCCAACAATAGCTAACCCCTAGTAGTGTTTACCAAGTGCTGGGCACTATTTTAAGAACTTTACGTTCTCAGCTGACTTGATCACAGGCTTCTGTGATTTACCAATGAGGGGAAAGCAGATTCTGAGAGGGTAAGTGACTTGCCCAGTGTCTCATCGCTAGTAAATGGCTGAGCCGGGGTTTACGTGCAGACAGCTTGATTTCATAGCCTAAGCATTATCCTATGTTTTCACTCCTGGAAATATAGACTAGGATACTGAAGGGACTGAAATAAGAGGAACTGCCTAGAGAACTGACGAGGAGCTACATAGGAGAGGCGCCTGGGGGAAGGTGGGATGGCTGCATTTCTACTTTGTTTAAAACAGGGAGTCTTGGTAAAGAGATTGGATTCGGCTTGGCGCCTATGGCTCAAGCAGCTAAGGCGCCAGCCACATACACCTAAGGTGGCGGGTTCGAATCC